CCATTTTAACTTTCCTTTTCAGCCATTAAAGCTTCATTAAAAATCTCACTTTAATAAAAATTTAATACCTTTGTAACTTCCTTCCCCTCAACATTTTTTGGGAATACATTAATAAAACATTGAGATCTCTCATTTGATTCTGATGATAAGCATTGTCATCAGGTGATGCATTTATTCTCCTTATGTTTTTACCTAGCTGTGCTCATCTTTTGGCTTGGATGCAGCAATAAGATTTACAGCCATGAATTACGCTTGAGCCTACTAGTTGTTCCCAAAAGGGCTGAGAGCATTCGCTTTGAAAGTGGTCAGCTGTGTAAGTTAGCCCAATATAGGTTGAACCACTTTTTTATTTCTTGCCTGATTTGAAGTTGGATAGATAAAAGCATGCAGAGCTATAGGCTTCAAGTGAGTTCTGGTTTTGCTATCATATACTCTTTCCCTATCTCACGTCTTCTTTTTCCTCTTTTTTGCATTCTGGTCCCATACAGATTTTCCTCACTTAATGTATAAAGAGAAATTGCAATGTATATTTTCATGTAACTTGATTTTGGAATTCTGTCACCTTCTGTAGTGAGTTCTTCCAAAATATAAATTTTTCCAATAGTTTTGTGTCAAGTTGGCTGTCTGCACTTTAAAAAATGAGAACACATTTTCAGAGAGCCTTAACAGATTTAGACTGCAAATCCTTGTCAATGAGCATTGGCAAATTCTATGTATTCCGTGCACTATAGTTGGACTGTTGACTGGGTCAAAGACTTGCTAATGAGAGTTCTGTGAACCCAATGTGTATCCTTTATAGTATAGCCTTAGCAATTGCATTAGATGATGAAGCATCATATTTGAGGAGGATAAAGCAGAATGCTCTTTGATAGATTCCCTCCCACTAATGATTTCTGCAGATTTTTCATTTCCTTAAAATTTGCTCAAGAGTTCTAGGTGACTCTCCAAAGCAAATTAGCAGGCGACAGGAAGATTAGAGATTCTTGTATGAGAGGATATATCCGTATAATATATTCCTTGTATTTTGCTGCAGATGATATAATACATTAATGCCCATTTAGAAAAAAACCAATTACACCAGCCACCATGGGGAAACTGTCCAGATGTTGCTAGACTACTATTCCTAGCATTCTTCATTATCAGGCAGGTTGATTGAGGGCTGCTAGAATATATATGTATATGGTTTAGGTACCCATCCCTGGCCAACTGAAGTAGAAGTCAATTGTAGTCTTTTAAGTAATTGAAAATGAGTAGATATCCTGATAAAAGATTGGGGGAGGGATGGATGGCAAAGCAGTCCGCATTTGTAAATTGTCAAAAAAAAAAAAAAGTATATGAACTCTCTTTATTAGAAGCACAACCATTCCTACACTATTTTATAGTGCTCTTCCTGGTCTTGTCTGGCCTGCTTATTAGAGTTTAGATACATTCATCTGTTAGCAGCTTCAGCAGCAGCTCTCATTACTGCCACTTCAGAGCAAGAACTAGAAGCAAATATCTCGGTTGGAATTCACATGGGAATTAAAGCAGAATTTGCCTGAATATAGAAGCACTAGGCTGGGTAATATAACATAAAGAAATACATAAAAAAATCCCAAAGGATTCTATATCATAATTATTTTATGACACATACACTTGTTTAATCCCACCTTTTCTATTAAGTACACAAGGAATAAATCATGCATTTTTTGTATGGGGTAATTTCTAATTCTATACATGTATTTTTCTGATAGAAGGAACATTCATACAGCAACTATTCTTAGTGGAAGGGGTTTTTAATAGTAATTTTACCTTTTTATTTAACTGAATATGTCTGGGTGGATTCATCTGAAGTAAACTAGCAATAGGTGCCAATAAAATAGCCTCTAAACTCAAACTTTCTTTAAAACAAGCAGTTGCCATCTTTGCTTGTTTGGTTACTTCAGATAAAAATAAAAGATGGGGTGGGAGGAGAAGACATTCTCCTGAGGGGAAAAAAGTAGTAGTAACCCATCACTAATGTCAGGAGACCACAACTGATATAATTGAAAGAAGCAACAATACAGTATAAGACTGAAAAAGGGGTAGTAGGTTCTTGCCTTGAGTATTTCTTTAAAAAGTGGAATGTTTTATCCTTCTGGCTGCATGCCTATGCAACCCAGATTACTCTTATGTTGGCATGGTACTTCATAAATTCACTGTCTCGTTAAAAAGATATTTATTGCTGCTTCTGAACTATTAGTACCTAGACATGGTAGCTTGGTTTAGACAATTGGTAAAGAACCAGATTTGCTTGACTTTTGCTAAGGAGAGCTGGGGGTGAGGTATAGAAAGAGAGAAGAAGTGCCAGCCAGCCGACTATCATTTGTACTCTTGAGTAAAATATGATGAGGGAATTTTATTGTATCTTAGGCACTTCTTCCATAATTAAAACATGAAGGGAAGCATCCCCAATTTAAATTGCATATTTCTGTAAAACAAAAAGACTTTAAAGTAGATTGAAATTAAATTCATCCCATGTTAAGAGAAAGCTTAAAATTATGTTGTAGTCGAGCTTTTTTTTTGCTAGGCTTTCTTTGTTCCTAACTTTGTCTGAACTTGATAAAGTACTTGGAGGGAAGAGCAACAGGAAATCCCATGTAGACAAAGCGGGAAGTAAAAGAATTCCAGAAGGCAATGGCATACCATTTCTGTATTACACCAAGAGGAAATTGAATTCAACTCAGGAGATTTTACTGCTCACATAATACATATTCTTGTGTTCTAAGCAAGGCTGTATAAATTCCTAGCTCTTGTTTTAAAGTACTACATTTATTATTTAAAATCTATTATATCTGATTTTCCAGTGCTGATCAACTAATAGAAAACTCTGATTTATGAACTGTTTTCTGGGTTTGTTTTATGATTTGTTTTAAAAACGAGTACCTTAGAACAGTGGTACCCAACCTTTCCAGTTCTGCAGACTGGCAGCAGTAGCAATGACAGCAGAGGGGAGGGTTTCACATGGGCACACGCCACGTGCACATATGGAGTTTCCTGTGGTTGCCTGCCACTTGCACGGCCCAGTTTCCAACAGGCCGCAGACTGGTACCAGTCCACGGACTGAGGGTTGGGAACTCCTGTCTTAGAATACAACTTTGCACTCAGATTATTGTAATACACTAGACCAGACATGTCAAACACAAGGCCCGGGCCGGATGCAGCCCGCGAAGTGGTTTCATGTGGCCCATGAAGCCATCCTGGAAACAGCGAGGGAACAGCCCCTGCTGCCTTGGCCCTGGCCCAGGCCGGCCGGGAGCCAATGTACAATTTTGTGATAGCCATCTATGTTGAAACGCATTCAGTCTTAGCTCCACAAGGCCGTCTAGAAACAGCGAGGAACCAGCCCCTGCTGTGTCGGCCCCACCCTCTGGGTGCATGCTGGGGAGGTGTCACCCTTTGAGGAATGAAGAAATGGACCATGCCTTGGCGCTTGCCCCAGTCCCACCCCCTTCTGCCAGAAACCCTCAGATCTGTCCCACTCCTGTCCAAGCACCACGCCCACCCAGTAGGCTGCACCCCCCTGGCCACACCCACCTGGCCCCCCAAGGGCAACCGCAATGCTGATGCAGCCCTCAATGAAATTGAGTTTGACACCCCTGCACTAGACTTTTAAAAACTGCTTATAGATGGTAGAATCCACTCGTCCTGCAGTGCTGCCTCAACTTTGAGTGAAGGTGGTGTTTGTTGGAAAGATGAGTGAAGAATAGCAATAGCACTTAGACCAGTGGTTCTCAACCTGTGGGTCGGGACCCCATTTGGGGTCGATCGGCCATTTCATGGGGGTCGCCAAGCAAGGCTGTCCACCATTTTTTTTGTCCACCATTTTTTTCCCCTTTTCCGGCGGGTGCCTTACCTCCCTTGGGCTGGGCCAGCTGGTGGTCGGCCTGCTCCATCTCTGCCGCTTGCCAGCTACACCTCAGCCGGCGCAGGGGGCAGAACCACACATGCGCGGCGCTCCCGGGCAGGGAAAGTCCTCGACTTACGACCGGTTGGGTAGTCCTCGAATTATGACCGGTTTAGTCCTTGACGTACGACCGGTTTAGTCCTCGACTTACGACCGGTTGGGGTCGCAGCATTAAAAAGGTTGAGAACCACTGACTTAGACTTATATACTGCTTCACAGTGCTTTACAGCCCTCTTGAGTGGTTTACAAAGTCAGTATATTGCCCCTAACAATCTGGGTCCTCATTTTACCGGCCTCGGAAGGATGGAAGGCTGAATCAACCTTAAGCCGGTGAGAATCGAACTGCCAAACTGCTGGCAGTCAGCAGAAGTAGCCCGCAGTACTGCATTCTAACCACCGTGCCACCACGGCTCATGTCAGGAGTATAAATCAGGCACCTACATTGGGCAGCAGTGATATAGAAAGATGCTGGAGATAGATTTATCATTCTAGTGACAATGGTAAAGGCACCATGTCATACAGCACAGAAAGCAATGATAACTCACTCCTGTATTTTATCGAGAAACTACAAAGACAATAAAAAGTGGTTGATGATGTAGCGTTGAATGATGGGCCCTTCAGTTTGGATGTCATTCAATATGCTTTTGTGGATGAGCTGATGATCTTTTGGAACGCTAATGGTGTTTATAACATAGCTACAGTCAACTACACTTTTTACCTTTTAAGTATCAGAAATAGACCAAAATTAGATGCTTTCACTCAGAGGGTCATACTGTTTACTACTCAGGACATGAAAAACAAAGGAACTGTCCTGATTTCATAATCAGAAAATATACTGCAAGAAAAATATCTAAAAACGATTCTCAGTCGTCCAGGTCATGGTTGTGCCAAAGGTGCTTTTTCAAGAGGCAACTGGACTTTCTTGTTTTTCTTTGAAGATGTTTCGCTTCTCATCCAAGAAGCTTCTTCAGCTCTGACAGGATGGTAGGGAATGGAAGGACTTCTATTCCTTGCAGACAGTCCTTTCAGCAGTTCCATTTGCATTACTCAAGGTGTCCCTATAGACCAGGGGTAGTCAACCTTGGCTCTTTTATGACTCGTGGACTTCAATTCCCAGAATTCCTGAGCCAGCTTAGCTGGCTCAGGAATTCTGGGAGTTGAAGTCCACGAGTCATAAAAGAGCCAAGGTTGACTACCCCTGCTATAGACACAGATAAATCTCCAATGGCCTCAACAACTCTAAAAGAATGCAAATGACCAGCTGTCTGCAAGGAATATAAATCCTTCCATTCCTCACAATCCAGTCAGAGCTGAACAATCTTCTTGGATGAGAAGCAAAACATCTTCAAAGAAAAACAAGGAAGTTCAGTTGCCTCTTGAAAAAGCACCTTTGGTGCAAGAAGAATACATACGTACAATGCAGTATAATGAGTAATGATAATTCCCACACAAGCTTTTATGGACAATCCTTTAATACGATCATCCAAAATTTATGTTCTAACCATTGATACAGAAGAAAAGACTGATCAGTTTATGGTCGAGTTTCATTTGAAATTCACAGAACATACAAGTAAGACATTGCCCTCCTATGAAATCTATATACAGGGCAGGAAGCCTCTGGCTGCATCGTGGCAAAACAGTTCAGGGCAGTAAAAGAGTGAGCTTCATGTTCTTTCATT